GTCAGGTGATGGGCATCCCCCAGGAGGCCCAGCCATGCCACATCAGCTGGGCCTGGGGTGAGGAAGATGGGCTCTCAATTTTCAGCTATAGGTGAGAGGTTTGAGGTAGACAGAGGCCTTGCCACCAGGACAGCTGCGTGAGTGAGTACACACATGCTCGTGTCTGGGGATCGAGAGGGTGTAATGCCAGAGTGAGGACCTTCATCCGCAGCTGATTATGTTTTATTGGGAATCTATTTCTAGAACGAGGAGGTTCTGATTCAAAGCCTGGCTCCTGCTACTCTTGAAGAAACTACTTAGCCTCTCTATGTTAATGGAGATTAACTCATATGTAAAATGGTTTTAAAAATTGTACCTCCCTCATCAAACTTGTGTGAGGACCAGCTGGGTTAATATAGGTGGGGCAGTTAAAATCGTGCCTAACACACATAGCTTGATGTTTGGGCTGCTGCTTCTGCAGGATGATTTTGTGAAGTGACTAAAGATGTTGCATCAAGCCCAATTTTCCTGGGCCCAGAGATTCTTCAGGTGTTTTGTTTTCTTCAGGTCTTTGCAGTCTCTTTGTAAGACCAGACACTTAGGAGACACTAATAACTCTTTACACTTGATTGTATTGTGCTTGATAGTTTACTAAGCGCTGACACAATGGCCCCCTCATTCAGTCTTCACATCACACCTGTAAGGTGATCAGAGTTCTGTGTTGCGTTCAGAAGTCGGGACCCTCCTGCTCAGCACAGTGCCATGAGCTCCACAGGCACATTTTTTAAAAATAATAATAGTTTATTTTTACATCATTTTGTGCATTTTTCCATCTCAGTTGTAATCCCTGTGGGTTTCCCATCACCAAATCACCCATGTGCCATGACCATAGCATACCTCGTTTTTGATCCCATTCCCCGCTCCACCCCCATAAAATGTCTCTGGTATATAGCTGTTCATTATTATTGTTATTTTCTCGCCTCCACAGGCACACTTAAGGTCATCACAAGTTCTGAGACGCAGAACCCAGGACTCATGACCTTCCTGTCTCTCTGCTCTTGCCTCCACCATATTTCACTAAATGATGGAAACAGCTTTGAATTAAATGCAGTAGATTAGAAACAGCAGTCTTTGTAAATCAGAACCGTATTGGGTCTCCCTTATTTTCATTCATAGTGCCAAATGTTAAGAGCTGAGGCTCCAGACACAGGTCCTCTTGCCCAGGCCAGAGTCATGGTTTCTGCCACCCCTGTGGGTGACATGACCGGAGACCTGTTTGCCTTGTTGGTCTGTTGAGAACTGTGTGAGATCTAGAGACAGGTCCCTTGTATTTGAATCACATGGCAATGTCAGCAGTAATTGCCACCTCCTTAGTCAGCTTTTCCTTTTCAAACTTCAGCAGATGGATATCTGAGTTAGAAATTCAATTCTAGTACTTTCCCTAGAATGACAAGGTTTATGGAAATAATTGATTTTTAATAGAAAAAAATGGTGTTCTTTTTTAACTTTCTTGCCAAAGGTTTGGGAAGTGGCATTATTGAATGAGTACTTGTCACTTCCTCATTTGTATAATTTCCCTCTCTTGTGACCTAAGCATATGACTTTTACTGACTCAGGACAAGGATAAATCATTTGTTTTGAAATACCTGAAAAATAAATTCAAAGAAAATCATACTTGAGTCCCCTCAGATTCCTCCGCCTTCATATCCCAGTCTCCTGCCTGTTTTTCTTTCATGATTTTAGGGGATCAGGCAGGCTTGTGGGATTTGTATCTTGATGAGAGCACTGACACAAACTGACCCAGTTCCTTGTTTGTGTGTAGGTCATATGCCAACTGTTTCTGGAGCGAATTATGCTGTCACTTCTCTAGCTATTTTTGAATGGCTTTTCCATCAAGGTATCTTGAAAGCCTGGGTTGCTTTTCTCAATGACTGCAGGCACATGAAGCCTGTGCCCCAGCCAGCTTGGCAGTGCCAACTGGCTGCACAGACATGTTCACACTGCACCCTCCACCCTTCTCAGTTTTCTGACATCCTTGTGACTCTCATGTGAACAGGCTGAGTAACTCTTGAGAAATCTTGGCAATTTACATAAGAAGTTTAACATTTTTATTTTAAGATGGCTGAGGTAAATTTTGTTAGTTACCTTTTGACTTAGTTTGCTTTTCACTTATCAAGGTTTTCATTCATGATCTTCCTCCTTAGTGTCTATTGATGTCTATAGTTTTGTCTCTCTGATGATGTGTTGATATCAATTTATGTAAATATAACAGGAAATGTTCTTTCATTTTTAGAGCTTATGTATTTCCTTATTTCAGATGTTCAAGATGTGTGACTTCATAATTACAACCTTATACTTTCTTTTCTCTGTGATCCTTACTGATTTTTACATGGAACTATAAGTGTCCTCTTAATACTAATAAAGTAGCATGAAGTAGAAATCATGAACAGTAATTTCTGTTACTGCTGCACTGACAGTTCTATTTAGGGTTTTGGTCTGCTTTAATTCACACTTTTCAGAAGTTGAACTAACTAACCAGTGCCTCTTGCTGTTACTTCATTTTGCAGATAACACTGGAAGGTTCTGTAATGGAGTTAGAGTAGATGCCTTTTTTTTTTTTTTAAGATTTATTTATTTATACATACAAAGCTGGGTATAAGCCAGAAGTTCAGGAGCAGTGAGAGGATTCACCAGAGACAGTGGGGCACAGAATGGGCTGACTGACAAAGTACACTGCTGAGGGGAGCAGCAGGCGGGTCAGGAGAGGTCTGTGTGTCGTGTGGATCACCTCCTGGGCAGGGATGGAATTCATGCTGAAGTGGCTTTAGCTTCTTAGTGCTGTGCTTTAACCTGCTGCGTCACCAGGGAGGGCCTGGAGTAGATGCCTTTTGTTGTTGCTATTGGGCTTACCCTCGTGACCCTGAGGAATGAATTTTGTGTTGATTTTTTGTAGGTGTTGTCGCAGTCCTGTGTGTGGTATGGAGAGTGTGGAATTGCATCTGGAGACAAGAGGTATAATTGCAAATACTCTGGGCCACCAAAACCATTGCCAAAAGACGGGTATGACTTAGTGCAGGTAAGTTTGTCATCTGCACTGGGCATTGGGAACAAATGCTAATTGTTTAGCATAGTTAGCAATATAGAGCTTCTCTGTATTATAATTCCTTAAATATTGTAGGGTGGGGTGAGAGGTGAAAATAATAAGCCTATATCTTACCCCAGACTCTTATCTGTAGTACATAAGGCAGTGAAGTTTTAATGTTTCAAGGGCTGACTTCATGTCTTTCTAATAAAGTTTCCACATTAGGTTACTATTTGGGGACTGACCTTGGTTCCTCAAATGTTTTGCTTTACAACTTCTTCAAAATATATTAGAAGGCAGTTGTTTCAGGTGTTGAATTTCAGGACTTGAATGGACGAGGCTGCTAACCAGCTATATCGTGCTCGCCCTGTGTTCATTTTAGAGACTCCTGTTTTCCACCAAAGCCTGTGAACTTCGGCTGCTACCAGGATTCTGTTTTCTGTGATCCTTTTTTTTAACCATCCCTGAAAACATAGGGATAGCAGAAGTGACCTAAAATAATCAAGGTGAAAAGACTGATTTTAAAGGCTTAAAATAATCTTAAATTGACATGTTAGCAGTTCTTCCAGACTTGCTCCCAAAGTGACTAGTTGAAATAGTAAACAGCTTTCTGGTTGAACTTAAATGAAATACTTGAGAAGAAAGGATTGTCAAAGGAAAAGACAGAGCTTCCAAATAAAATAAGAAATGGAATATGTCTGCTGTCTCTATTTGTGATTCCCTAGTTTGTAGTTTTTTTAAGACATCTGCAAGAACTTTAAGCAAATGCATGTCATAACCTGTGTGTACCTATAAAGAGGAATAATGAATGAAACTCTTGTTTCATTGAGGCCTGTTTGTCCTTATTCTGCTATGCTACCCTGATACCTGTGCTTTCTCACCCAAAAGGAACTCTGTCCAGGATTCTTCTTTGACAATGTCAGTCTTTGTTGTGATGTTCAGCAGCTTCAGACACTGAAAAACAACCTGCAGCTGCCCCTGCAGTTTCTATCCAGGTAGGTTGGACTACCTGCCAGATGAACAGGAAAAAAAAAAATAGATTTAACGTCCTTGTTAACCAGTAACATTCTGATTTCCTTTAAAAAAGTCAGTTTTGGATTTATTGTAAGAAAGCAATCTTAAGACATCTCAGAAGTAAAGGACAGTGTCTGATAAGTAATCACTTTCAGTTTTCTTCCTAGTTATAGTCAAACTTGATTCTTGGGTTTCCTCTGAGAGAGCTTCACTCCAAAGGCCTTCTGCACTTTGGCCTGGCACCTGCAGATCAACTTCTCTGCGCTGTGGGGAGAAGTTCCTGGCGCTTCTGCTCAGGCCTCTGACTGAGACCCTCATCTGTGCAGTCTGCATTGCCTCTCTCGACATCTCTCTTGCTTTGCAGATAGTTCTCTCTTCCTGTGGTGACATGACCTGCCAGAGTCCCAGTCCTCTGGAGAGTTGGCATTTGGTCACTGTTAATGAGCGTGGTCTGGCATGGTTGACTGGTGTTTTCAATAGTTTGCTCTCTAATCTGTTCCCTAGACCCTCTGAGCAGTGAGAAAGGTTATGTAATAGATGTTTTTCTCGAAGTGTATGCAGCATTTCTCAAGCCTGTAAAAGAAGAATCTGATGATGGTCTTTTGAGCAGAAAGTTCTCACTTTCTAAAGATTCCCACTGGTAGAGGTAGATGATGGCACATATGAAAATGGAAATGTTTTGTGCAGAAAACACAGCATAAGTCAGTATCCATGGAAAAATCCCTGCTTCTTGCCAGTTTAAATTGGCAATAGCAGTTTAAAACCATCCCTAAATTGTTCTTTCAGGATAACATGTAATATAATAATAGATCAAAAAATTAAGACCCTAGTCAGGCAGCATATTCTGTGGAATGGGTATAGGATGCTAATGGAGCCAAATTGGAACCACAATTCAGTGAAAAAATATTTATGTACTACCTACTCTTAGGTGAGTCATTATGGGCATAGACTTCAAAAGATAACCAAGTTATCAGAGATGTTACAGTTTTATTTATAGTAGAGAACTTAATAGATGGGCAGACTACACAGCTGTGAGAATTGATGATTATGGAGAGTCATGTAGTAACATGGAAAGAGGTTTGTAATTCATAAAAAATGATAGAAAACTGTGTGCCTCCGGAGGGATTTTTGTTAGGTAGGTGTCATTGTTCCTGTTTTTATCACAGCAAAGCATGGGATTACTGCAAGAGAGTCAGTGTGTCTTGCTCCTTCACTAGAGCAGAGACCTCTGCAGGCTGGGGCCACATCTTCCTTATTCTGTTTCATTGTGGTCCCTTGGACTGGAGTAGAGAGACAGCAATCTTGATTTGTTATGTTGCAAGAATATAAGTCTAATGAAGCAATAGCTTTTGTGGATAACAGTGAACCAGAGGAGACAGTTGTTTGCCATGTAACTAGTGAACATTAGAAGCTTCAACCTTGAACCTGAAGGACAACAGACAGCTGCTTGGTATCATGAAAACCCATGTGCTTCTGAAATGCTTTGGCCAGAGAAGACCTCTGCCGTTCTTTTTATCTTAAGTCAAAGGAAATCCTCTGGTGTTTAGAGAGGGCTTAGAAGATTGGTTATAAAATGATCACTAGGTTCGAAGTGAAAATTCTATCATGTAATTTTCATCTCATTTCATTCTTTTCCCCTTTGATTAAAATTATTGCCTCAATGCTTTAGTCTGTTTACTTTTAGGACAAAGAAAACATCTTTGTAAATTATAAAGTGCAGAATTCAAGGAAACATCTTTCTCTTTTTGAAATTGCATCTAGACAGAATAAAGGTCATAATTATAGTTTTTGAAAGTGGTATCTGTTTTAATATGTGGTTTTAAGTTTAGAATTGCTGGGTTTAATGTATCCTCCTGGGACTTCATTTGTCACTTTACAGTACATTTTAAAGATCGTTTCAAATCCTCTTTTTTGTTAACCCTATTATTTGTCACATCAAATACAATATAATTTACTTTTTCTTTAGATGTCCATCCTGTTTTTATAACCTAATAAACCTGTTTTGTGAGCTGACATGCAGCCCTCAACAGAATCAGTTTCTGAATGTTACAGAAACTGAAGATTATGTGGATCCTGTTACAAATCAGACGAAAACAAATGTAAAAGAATTACAGTACTATGTTGGGGAGAGTTTTGCCAATGGTAAGTAAACTTTTAATTATTCCTCTTCCACAGTTATTATCAGGACACGCATCAGGTTATTCCTTTTTGTTTTCCTCTCAACTGTGAAGTGACAGTTTTTGGTTCCTTTGATCATAAAATAAGATTTGTTACTTTGTTTGTATTCTGGAACTTGAGCTAAAAACTTATAAACAACCTCTGTGAATATTGGTTTAATTTTTCCTTGGATGTAAGCTGCCTTGTGGAAGTTTTAGTATGTGCAAGTTTACTTTTGTATGTTTTAGTGACCATTGGAACTTTGGTTATAGTGGGCATGAATTACTTCAAAATTGAGGTGAATGGGGTAGGAAAATGAAACTAAATGGCAAAGAAGAGAATATTTTGAATATAAAAAAAGGTCAACGGGAAAATTAAGTAGATGTAACAAATAGAAGAAAGAGTACCCCAACAAATGTAACAGTTTGAAAAAAAATTTGTGAAAATAAATGAAAAAATTCTGAAATAATAGGACACTGGGGGAAAGAATGAACTGATTAGAATTAGAACCAACTGCATCTATCAATGAGAAACAGTCTTTTAATTAATTGAGACATCAATAGCAGATTAGACATAGCTAAATTAAGAATGCCCAGGATAATCTATTCAATATGAAAGAGTAAGAATTTAGTCAAGTTGAGCAACTTACAAATTTAATTGCAATATCAAATTAAAAATGTGCCCCAAAATTTAATAGAAAAAAATTCCTATTCACAGCAATTTACCTGTTTACCTACTGCGGGACATTATGGTTGCTTCCAATTTGGCAATTATGAATAAAAATACTTTAAAAACCCATGGCAAGTTTTTTTGTGGACATACATTTTCTGCACTTCTGGGGGTAAGTGCCGAGGAGTGTAATTGCTGGATGCTAAGACGATTCTTAGTTTTCTGAGAAATTGTCAAACTGTCTTCCACAGTGGCTGTCCCACTCTGTGTTCCACCAGCAATGGTAGTGTTCCCTGCGGCTCCACGTCCTCACTTGGAGCACTTGGCATTATCAGCGTTTTAGATTTTGCACATTCTAAAAGGTGCATATGGAATCTCAGTGTAGTTTTAACTTGGAATTCCCTAAGCCATGTGACAGTAAGCATCTTTGGAAGACCTCAGTCCATGGATTAAGGCAGCATCATATTTCAGTCCTTTCTCCTTACTTCTCTGCTAGCCATGTACAATGCCTGCCGGGACGTGGAGGCCCCCTCAAGTAATGAAAAAGCCCTGGGACTCCTGTGTGGGAAGGATGCCAAGGCCTGCAATGCCACCAACTGGATCGAGTACATGTTTAATAAGGACAATGGCCAGGCACCTTTCACCATCATACCTATTTTTTCAGGTGGGGATAAAGACTCCCAAGTTCATTGTATTTATGCTGTTTTATTTTTTATTATTATTTTTAAAGATTTATTTATGCATACAAAGCTGGGGTACAGGCCAGAGGTGCAGGGGCAGTGAGAGGATTCACCAGAGACAGAATAGGGAGCACAACAGGCAGATCCATGAAGTACACTGCTGAGGGGAGCAGCAGAGGTCTGCCTTACCATGTGGGTCACCTCTGGAGTGGGGATCGAACTCATGCTGAAGTGGCTTTAGCTTCTTAGTGCTGTGCTTTAGCACACTGTGCCACCAGGGAGGGCCTGTGCTTTGTTTTAAGACCCAGGAATCTTACACTGAAATAGGAAGATAAACTCAGATAATTCAGTTTAAAGGAAACTCTTGCTGAATTTTCCTTCAGTGAGAGAGTAACTGGAGCACTGATCACATCATTTTAGGAGGCCAGGAGTGAGAGGGAGAAGAATTACTAGTTGAAAGAATAAGCTGGGTTTTTGTTATTTATTTATTTTTTAAAAGATTTATTTATTTGTGCATACAGAACTGGGGTACAGGCCAGAGGCTCAGGGGTGGCGAGAGGCTTCACCAGAGAAAGAGTGGGGAGCAGAACAGGCAGATCGAGGATGCACACTGCTGAGGGGAGCAGCGGGCAGGTCAGGAGAGGTCTGCCATGCCATGTGGATCTCCTCCGGGGCAGG